TTTATTAGTTTATATATATCTATAAACTAATAAAATACTTCGGCTGATTGATGTCATGTCTGACACCAAACAAGAAGAAAAGAATGTTCTTTAAAAAACACTGTACATTCTGTTGGATGCAGTTCAACTAATGTCAATGTATGGAGACACACTCACTTACCTGGTAATATTTTCTTTGATGAGAATCCTTTTTCAGCGGCTCGGTCTATTGGCTGATTATTTTGTGCTATTTCAATCTGGATGCGATGGAGGGTAATTGCTCAACCAATAACCACTTCCTTACCCATTGTCTTCTTTCCGTCTTAATATACATCAGACCACTGCCAGAGATCCCCGGTCTTGACTTCTCTAAAATTCTTCTTTGGCGGCTCGTTGCTCATTCAGGTTCTGCTTATTTCCTAAACGAGCTAGTATTACATTGCGATCATTTTAGTGAAATAAAAGATTGGTTCCAGACTTGGTGCACAGTATGCTTCACAGAAAGCATTTTAGAACATATGCTGCCAAGGGATAGCCCCCCTGGAAACACAGTTAAACATAGGAAGACTACACAAGGATGAACAAAAATGACAAATACATAGAAAGGGAAAAGAAAAGTCAAAGTCAGTTGCAGATGCTACTCTCTGATCGATAATTGTACAAATCGATGCGAGAGCCGTAAAAGTGAAATTTCGATATGTAAACACGACTCTTGCCATGGAACCAAACACATACTCATACCCGCAGCAAATATCTTATTATTTGCGTCAAAATCCAATGAACGATGTCCCCCTTGCCCATACTCTTTAGAAAAATTTTAAGGGCCAGAGTCATTTCCTAAAAACACCTATTTCTCTACAAATGAATATCAAAACTAAGAATACATCAATAACTGACTTTTTCGTTGTCGTTTTCATTAATAAGGTCAATACATTTAGTCGTTTTTGCGATGGATGAACGTTTGATTACAGTCGTTAGGATATTTTCCTTGAGGCAGACTACGTGATATCAATTATCGTACTGTACTAAAGCGTACATAGGACTGTAATTTGCCTGTTAAACTTTATGAGATCTACGCTTTAGAATGTCTGATAACCCGTGGGAGGCGTGTTAAGAATTTTCTGGTCGCGTGCGGTGTGGTTAATGGAAGTGACAGATGTTGTTTGACATCTATCATCTGTGATTTACAAGTAAACAGGAAGATGTGGGGAAAATATGTATCTATACTCCAACCCTAGTTCAGATTGCTTTGCTTTTACCGTAAAAGCATTTCCTCTTCCATTTATTGCACTGATGTTAGGCGGTAGAACGGCCTTTTTACAGTCAGAAGTTCAATTATATCAGCATGGATTTGATTAAAATACTTTTTAATCTACACCAAAGTACATCGTCAAAGCACATTGTATGAACATTCGATTACTTGGGTCAACCAGGCACGCGTCAATCTTGTGATAAGGTTATCAAAACGACATAAAGTTAAAATCAGCCTTTGGTAAAGATAAGGAATATTGACGACACTATTATTAGTATAATGATATAATATAACACAAATGAAAGCATATTCATAAAAAGGAAATCTACTATTACTGAATAACCCTTAAGGTTCGCTCCAATCAACTTTAATATCGAATGATCCTTTAAAGAATCTGTGCAGACATAGTATATACTTTTTATATGCTCAAACGCCATTACTTTTCTTAGAGTAACGTACGGATTCATATATTTATATCCACCCTTGTATGACCCTGTTCGCGGCATGTAGTCCGTAAGTTCATCTTCTTCTTCAATTCCCGCTGATTGTTGCTCGTCCACTTTTCCGCGTGTCATGTCTCTCGCTCGAGAGCGTTGCAGAAGCCGTTACGCAAGATTAAAACAACTAGTAAGGTGGCAGAAGATTTAATAAAATTTATTAGAGCAAACAAGAATTTGCAAACATATAGCAAGAGCCATGAAAATACCAGGGAGACAGCTGATATCCTTCAAGTTTCCCTTTTTCCTGGATGTTTATCGTTCCAGTTTAATTGGAACGCTCAGGTGTTTCTTGTTATCTGCACAGCAGGTATCACAACAGTGCTGAACAATTATCATATTTGCACGCAACGGGCCAAGATACGCAACCAACGCAAGGTTGAAGGGTCAAAATACTTAATTTATATAATTCCAATGTTATTAATGTTTTTTCTAACTGTTTAACAGCGTTCTGGCAAAATTTCAAAATGTGGTCATCTATCAACCCCTCCACGCTAATTATAAGAAATTCTTGGTGAGCCGCATTGAATATATCTTTTGTTAGTGAATGGGTCGATGGGGGCATCCTTATTATGATTTATATGGAGGAGGACGACCTTTTTAATACTTATTGTCATCATTTTTATCATTTTCATCATCATCATTATTATTATTATTATTATTATTACTATTACTATTATTATTATTATTATTATTATTATTATTATCACACCCATTTTGATATAACTGGTGATTTTTGCAATCTGATTTGCTCTCGCCGGTGCGATTTATTCACAAATCGCACCATTTTATTCTTTAAGTTGCATCGTATTCCTAGCCAAGTGGTAGCTTTGCTAAAACACAACCACCAATAAAATTTTAAGGCTTTTCTAAAGCAATAAATCAAACTGTAGAAAAATGAGAGAAATCTTTTGAAACTTTTTACAAACCACAGCTCAATATACTGTATCAAAATATTTGAACAGACTGAAACAACTTCCACTTTGCGATTTAAAAATAGATGATTCTAGACCAAAATTGCACGACAGGAAGTTCATAGACGTCGTGTCGTGCAATTTTGGTCTGAAATCATACTTGTGATTTCAAATCAAACTCGCACTAGCACTGCGCTTTCGTTGGATTTTGAAATCACGCGTATGATTTCAGACCAAATTGCGCCATCAGTTCAATTACCATTAAATATCATATAAATCGCTTTGATTACCATTGTCATCATTTTTATCGTTATGTTGCAATATTATCATTGATGTTATTATTATTATTATTATTATTATTAATGCTTTACTGAGCGGATGAAGAATTTGGAGCTCGAAAGGTAGTTCCCAGTTCTTTTTCCTCTACTTTCTGATAAATATGCTCTAAACTTTGGGCGACGCGGTAACTAGGTACTTAAAACAAACTTAATCCACGTAACTTAAAAATTCCTGTCGAACTCAGCTCTCTCCAATACACTCCTACTTCAATTTCTTGTTGAGATTTGCCTTTATTCCCAATCAAGAGATAATAATCTCTTGCTCACAATTCATTAGTCTCTTCAACCCACGGAAGATACATTTCCGTGTTTAAGGCCGAAAACAACAACAGACCGTTTTTCTTTGTCATGAAATGTATTAATCAATTCACAACAATCATTTATAAAAACCTGTAAATGAGTTTACATATTAGCTAACTACAAAACAGCTCTTACATACGGTACGCGGGTTTGGTTTTTGAAATTTAACTAAGTGCTATCACTTTTTCCAAAACAGGACCCCTTTTCACTTTTGAAAAGCTTGATCATTAACCGATCAGCTCTAATAAATTGTGCAGGTAGCTTTAATTCGGGTTACCGGCGGATACAAAGGGGAGTTGCGTATTGTTTTACGAAGCGAGGGCCATCTATTCTAGTCGCTTGCCTCATAGATTTCGTCAGATCAAATCTATGCACTTTTAGTAAAAGGTAACAACATTAAAGTTTCTTTGTATCCTTCTCCTATATGTATATATTTTTTTGAAAACAGCAAACCCTAAAGATTGATTATGATAAATCTCTAAAAATCAGTTTTGACCTCACTGAGTTTCTAGATCAATCCAGATCGTTAATGTCCGGAATCGTCCAATGTTGTATTGTTTGACTTGCTTTGTTCTTAGATCCTGATAAAGTGCACTGCTAATGCGAGCTTTTGCTCGAACTCTGCTCTGTGCTGAGCTGTATCTAATGAAGGGGCCCATCGCAGTATAATATCGGTTTCTGATCTAAAATATTGCTTTTCCTAGACAACCCTACAGCTTTACAACTAAGACTTAGATTAAGACCTTGGGCTGTTTTTCCTTTTTACTACTCAGGCGGACACAACAGTTCTCAAGCTTTACATCACCAGACAAGCTTCAGACGGCTGCTGCCGTGAGCCAACAGTTAAGACAGGCATCATTACCACATCCTATGATGAAAGGAATCTGTCAGCAACGCATGGACCTCTAGAGAGGTTCATGAAAATCATATATTTGAACTGAGAAGAAATATTGGGGACATTATGGGAAATATTGCAGTTATTGAAATGACCCCGAAACTAACACACAAACCAGCAGACAAGAAAAAAAAAAGAAAAAAAAAAGGAGTCTATGATTATGCGACTGAGTGATCTGAACCCATGATCATCGGGTGAAACTGGCCCAGCTCAGAACTATTGAGACAGCTATCGAATTACGCTTCTGCGAGTATTTCAGACTTCCAGACACCTACCGCAGGGTGGACACGAAGATCATGTGCTCCTTCTGCGCCATCTCGGTAGGTGTTAGTGTTTCCATTAGGCCAGCGGACCTGCTCATCAATAGACATATTTACAAAGTTGCTCGACGTGAACACTTCCACTTTGACTAGTGTTAAAAGTATTACAAGTGAAGGAGTAGTTGTGAAAAGGCGAATGAATCTACAAACATATATGATTTGACAGGCAACAGTGTCATATCAAAAGTAATTTCTTGTTATTCTCGATTAAAAAACATGTATTTAGTGACTGTTTTTTGGAAATCATGAGAGGGCTTCATTGTATTTGCCACTAGCACAAGTTGGAATCAGTAGATGTATTTCAAAAGCCAAATTAAGATAGGTTTGAGGCGAAATGATCAATTTGATGTTTTTAAAATTAAAAGTTGATGTTTTGAAATTAAAATTTCAGTGAGGGAGCAAAACAATTCAAGGGAGGGGAAATCGAAAAGGAAAAAAAATTATAAAGTGAAACATGGCAAATTCACCTTTGCAATTCCACCGCCTACGTGGTAGACGCGACCGATGTTCCCACTTCCTCCATCCTGATTTCCCCATTTCCAGTCTGGTCCTAAATTGATAAAAAGTACATTTAAAATTAAGGAAATCACTCTTAGTTCCCAGACAATTATACGACAGCTATTTGTGTAGTTGCAGCGCTTACAGTGGTTGGTAATCCAGTGAAGCAAATTTCCCGCCAATTCTTCCCCCTTCTACCCCTCCATTTCCCTAAGTGAGTCCCTGTCCCACAATGACTGTAATGTACAAAGGCTTAAGTTTCATTTCCATTCGCAATCATGTTAAGTTTGTCGTCCGTCTTATGACATGTCTTCAAACATTGGATTAATCGATTGATTCCCACCCACTTTCTCAGTCGCACTATCGGGAGCTTAGGGGGTCCCCCGAAGTTTTCTAACCTCTAATCACACGACATCCAACTTGAACTCCTTCAAGGAGAAGCACGCGTCTGTTTTCATCAACAACCTAAAAATGACAGTGATACTGCGCGAAACTTAAGCCTCAAGCACTGGTGCGCAATGTAACGAAGACTTTGGTCAACACAGTGTTTAAGTCTTCAATGTAATTGCAGATCTCGGTACTATGTCACTCCGCATGTACTCCAATAGTCGCACCCTCATCATTTTCCTCTTTGACGTGCGACTGTAGTGACTGGCAGCTTACCAAAGTGCATAACCTCTTCCTCTCGCCAGTTTATTAGGCGGAAGAAATGCAAACATCTTACCCCCCCCGTAGAAATACTATCTAAACAGTTTTAAATGCAAGGTTATTTTCTTACTTTGACATCAAAAGCGGAATCTTTTCCATAACGGTAGGAATTCTTATTCCCGCGATCCCATTGAATCTCCACCCAACCTAAAAGCAAATGAGACCCTATTAGATTACACACTTAGCGAAAGAGGAGAAAATGGCATGCAGACCAAAGGAGGGCGGGCTCTTGGTTCAGGCCTTGAGACATGTCAGATAAATTCATATAAACATTAAGATGGAATTAAGGTGAAAAAGTCAAAATAGATATCGTCCAGTTTTGTCAAAGAAACGAATTAAAAAAGGAATAAATCTGTATTTTCTTAGCGAGAATTTACCAGGTGGCACAATGTAGATAACAGGATAAACCAACTCCCTACTCACCTGTACTGTTTCACCATTTTCTCTTCACACTCAGGCAATAGGAATCCTGCATCAAAATCTTGCTGCTATTTAACGTGGGCCTTGTGTGTGGTATATGTCAGTTATTTTAAAATAAAACAGACAGTGGAAAAGACAAAAACAACAACAAAAGACAACAAAGCGAAACCAAAAAAATAAAAAAGACAAAAAAATAACGACGACAACAACAAAAACCACAACTGCTAAACAGATGAAGTACCGAACTTCGAATTTAGTAACACTGTGTAACCATATAAATGAATAGATTCAAAATGGTTTGCAGTTAGACAAGGGCCTACCAAAACGTTTTGTTACAATAAATTATCACGTTTTCTATTCTTAATAACACAGCAATTGGACTCACATGACGCAGCTGAGTATGAAGTAAGCAATAAAAGTCTTAACTTAACTCACCAGGCGTTCCACCAGCATCCACTACTGTACCCACTCTCCCTCCGTCTTGATCACCCCATTTCCAGTGAGGTCCTCTGCGAACACGTGTCCCCAATGGGGGGGGTCTGGGATAGTTCTGAGGAATAACAATAACAACAGCTCGAACATGACAGGTACTATTTTGAGATTTTCTTTGAGTACCAAGGGGCTTAAAATTCCTTGTCTGTGAGTGTCCATTTATTTGTCTGTTTAATCATTCACTTATTGGTATATTGTCGTTGTTGAAGTTCTCCCGGATTGCTTCTGTCAGAGACCATTAAATAGCCCGCGCCGACGCTAACGATAACAGTACACAATATAAAGGTGCCACATTTCATTACTTTCCAACAGCATTCAAAAATATTTCTACAATATCATTTTGTATATCCTGATTAGTCAGTAGTTCAGCTTGAGGGAAAATATTTCTCTCCCGTCATGAAGACATGTTAAGCATATCTTTGCCAAAGCAGAATTTTCCACTCACCCCATTATTGTTGTCATCATCTTCTGCAACCAACATGGCCAAAAGCAGAGCCATGAGAGGACGCTGCAAACAGAAATAACAAACGAACAATTGCAGAACTGCTTCGTGTGTGTGTGCAGTGTTTTTCCTTTTGAACAGATTAAATTAAGAAAAAAGGTAAATTTTTAACATGGCTGTCTAGACATTTTTATTCTCAGTCCAAAATGGTTCTACCTTAGCTACACGCGCGGATGATTTATAATCTTTAAAGGGTTAGCCTTTTGAAAGGTTTGAAATCATTGACACTGAGCCATCAATTTTACATGTAGTAGCGGGTAAGTCTCTCACCAGCTCTCCCTCCTCCATATCTTCGCCGAGACTTCGCATAAACTGCTGCAACACGAGCAAGTTCCTAAGTTGTGTCATGTCTGTGGAACAGGAAAGTAAACAAAACAATGCTTCTTGTTTATGAAGTAATTTGTCACCTTGGAATCAGTTATTTAGACTCGTGAGAATCGTTAACACCGAGCTTTGGGATGAGCAAACTTTGCCTACTACAAAAGCTATACACACTATAAAAGTGTGTATGATACTATTATGACGATACCACGTTGCCAATTAAATCGAGGCACTCTGATTGTTACAGTTTTTAAGTCTCACCAACAGTTTTCAAATTCTGAAAATTACCCTTCATTCCACCCATTTTTAAAGAGTCCCTTAACATTTTCGCAGTGCCAGCCCATAATTATTGAATACCCTTGTCAAAGGAATATGACTGACACCGTACGCTGTTGTCCTGGGATTAATATACTCTTAAGCAAAGAACTGCACGCCAAATTTGAAAGTTACTCCATTCTGTACGGCAGCACACTTGCGTGAAAGACTTAAACTGAAAGATATCGAGTACCCCGCTCCTCCCTTCCATCCTGACAATAGAGGATAAGCTGTTTTAAGCAAACCTTTTCAGTGAAAAGGTGAAATTCCACTTGAAAAGCCAAATTTCTCATTTCATTATGAATATTGAAATAGTTGTCACACACCTAATCAAGAGTTGACTACAAGTCTATGGTTTCAGTTTGTGTAAAATTAAATATTAGTTTCAGTGCAACGGGAATTATGGTTGATAAACTCACCATGCGAAAACTGGGCAATAAAACGGGACAGCAACACTTGGCGCTTGAAAAAAGTGCTGAGTTCCTCCATATTTTGCACCATCACGTACATTCCTCCAGTTGTCTGTGCAATACTCGCCAAAAGTTTCTAAATAATTTGGATATATCAAAAAAGTTGAAATGGTAAATTGGCCACCGTAACGATTACAAAAGCTGACGTTTCTAAGGTTTCACGAAAACGCAAATTAATCATTTAGTCTTGACAAGAAACTAGAAGCAGTGTATAATCTCTTTAATTTGCGCAGTGTGCCAAGTTCTCGGTAAGAAACCTAGCTATCAAAGCGTTTATTTGGGAATATAACAGAGTCAGAATTGCCCGGGAAACTAACGAGCCTGCGATGGAAAAGGATATCAGCCCGGGAAGACTGGTAAAACTCCCAACTCATTTTTGCCAACGAAACTAGGAAAACTACGGTATAGCAAGCATTGCTGACTTTTCTACTTAAATTTCTTTAACCAGCGCATTTCTTTTACCTGATCAGCCTTTCCACAGCCAACACAGGCGATTGGGATCTTATAAGGAAGACCAACTTCTTGCCAGCGAGGACCAAAAAGCACAGCGACCAACAGCACTGCAGTTAAGGCCTGAAATAAAAATGTCGAAAGCTAAACGGGATTCATATTAGTGGCTAAAAAGCTAAAGCATCGTCAATAAATACAGCTACATTAAGAGAGGAAAATCGAAAGCAGAGTACGAGACGCTTAGAAATGCTACATAAGCGTTGCCAAAAAGAATGATTTTATCAACTAGTTTGCAGCAAGATATATTAGCTTGTACTTTTGGTTTAACTGGAAAAGAAACAGCAAAAAGAAACAAAATCTGTTTATTGCATACAGTTCAAGCACAGAGGTTAAATGGGTTTTCGCGTAATGAAAAATTAAGTATTCTTAATTTTCGTGAACTGTGAAAATACGAGATTGAAACCTCGTGAATTATTAATTTTTTGTTATTCGTGATTCGTGAACCTTAAAGTTCTTTATCGGATTTTTCATGAAGTTATTTCTTCTTTTTGACGTGCGTGAGAAGTGTGCAGGACTCCTTCTCCCCGTTACCCCTTTCTGCACAGAAGCGCTTTAATAAGTGATCGGTAATACCACTTATCCATGCTAATCGTGAATTCAGGGCTCCATTTTTTCGTGGTAAAGAGGATTAAGCTTCTGTTTATTTTATGTCAAACACCATAGTTCCAAAAACATGTTTATCTTTTACAGTCTTGCCTGTTCATTTTCACTTCCATTTTCATCAGTAGGTTTCCCGTCAGTCATGAGAATAATGCGTGGACAAAGTTTTCTTCCATTAACACTGACAACACCACCTGAGAAATTAAACAGTCCGAAAGACAAGGAGGCGTATGAAACTTTCGTGTTTCATGCTTTAAATAACATTCATTTTCCATTATTGTTTGCTTCACTGGCTTCGTGACACGATATGTAACCTATTCATTTCTCTGTGAACCAAAATGGAATCACATCCTAATTACTCTAAAACATGCTCGTCCCTTTCTTGAGATGGAAACAAAAGGATGAGGTCTTCTGAAAAATGTTAGCAGTCTTCTCCACAAGCGATATTTAAGTTTACCTTATCAGCGGGTATTACTCACCATTTTTTCCAATTTCCTGAAGAGCCATTAGCAAACCATCTTTCATAGGAGTCGTTCCATTGGCACTAAGTCCACCTGAAACAGAACGAGACATCTCTCAGAGAAACAAAAAACAAAGCTAAAGAGAGATATCACGAGAACTTTCTTCATTCCACTTAATCAGAACTTAAGCTATCTAAATGATTTCAACGACATTTTGACACCTTTTTCTCTTGAGGTAATCAATGCTGAAATGGTGAGTTAAAGCAGTCATCAAATTTCAAAAAATAAAAATACCTATCTGACTTTTTACAACTACTAAGAGCAGCGTCATATTATTTTGAAACGTTACATTTGTCAACCCATGTATGGTTTCACTAAAAAAACAGAGGATCGGATAGAATTCAATACTGATGTCTAGAATTTCAAACGAAGAAAAGAGTGCAACTTACGGATTTTCATTTTGAGACTTGGATAGTTGTTTGACAAGCTATGCAATATTTGGGTCTTGGCCCCAAACTCAACTATGGCAACATTTTCCTGAGAGTAAAAAGCAAATGTATATTTATCAAAAGAATCAAACTACTCACTGAAACAACATGCACCTTCAAACACTCGTAACACAGAAAATAAAATGCATTCTATTAATACAATAAGCTAACTGAAGCTCAGTTCATGGAGCAGATCATGTGAGTCATAAAGACTAAGCAGCAAGAGACAAGTGCGCGAGCTCGATATCTCAGCATTCTACTGCTTATAATGACGATAACCACTTGATCGCGGAGAAGAAATTAATTGCGATTTGACAGAATCTATCCGAAACGTGTTTTTAAAACAGCTACATCTTAGTATGATGCAGGAACTTCTTAGTATGATGCATGAACTTCATATATTCATCGTATCAGCTACATCTTAGTTAAAAATCTAGTCAGCCTTTTTTTCTTCAGATTGTTCAGAATGTTTTGTTTGCATTGCGTGACGGCTGATGACGAGTGTGACTTGGCGGCCTCGCCTTATTCAGATTAGTTTACCACCTGCAGAACGTTTCCGTGACGTTCTTCGTTTTTTTGTTGTTGTTGTCGCAAGAAGCGAATGAAGTTGTTAGCATTAAAACCGGAATTTCAGAGACCTTGTGTGAGTTAATTTGGTGTCACAGAAAACGTTTTCCACAAGATAAAAGTTGCGTAGATCACGAGTCAGTCCACGTCCGTCATATCAATACATGTAATGGGTCAGTCCGTTTCAGTGCGCGTTTTTTATTTCCTAGAAATGTTAGGCGTTGATAGTCTAAATAGATCACGGGAACAAGGGGAAACAGGAGTAAAGTGATAAACCGAAAGTGAGACGAAGCACTCGCCTATTATTGACACCGGAAGTTTCGACATGCTCGTTATTCTCTTAGGGCCGGCCATTTAACTCTTGAGGGGGGGGTGGGTGATTTTGAAAAAGAGAATTTAGAACGGAAAAAAATATCCTGCCCAGCAGATTGCTAGAAAAAAAAATTTCTTGATGACTAGAAATCACCCCCCAAAGTTAAATGGTCGGCCGCTTAGCATTAACAGAAAATGATACTCTTGATAACACAATAACACATATTTTACATTAGTGCGTGCGTGTGTCCCCTTGGGAGTCTGATTTCTATTTACTGTCGACCGTTTTGAACTACTAACCCTACTGATATTTGTCTCCTCCTTATCAAATATTTTCAAAACAGAATGTCATTAACCGAAACACAACATTTTTCCGAGAAGCTTATACGGGGTCGCAGTAGAGATTTACTTCCATTCGGACACTTGCAGGAAATTACCGAAATTCGCATCTGGTTCGATGAATCAAAACTCAATGACACAATAGACATGATTTTCTGTTATGAGTTACTTTTCATCCATTCGGACTTGAGTTAGGAAGTCTCGCTACCAAATAACGGAAGTAACCATTGTTTAACGCATCAAACCTCCTTAGCAAACAAAAACGCTTGCTTTCCTTGTTCTGAACATTGAACTTGTCACATAAATAGACTCTTCTTTCCCAATTATGAAACCCGCGCAATCGTCCGTACTCTGTAATCTCATGTTGTCTTCATTGTAAAAGAAGTGAATTTCAAAAATTAACTTAGAAATCGAGTAAGGGTTTGTTTTCGCGAAGCTGATGAAAACATTTTCACCACATATCCTTGCGACACTGAGGTTTCTATGTAAAGAAAACATTGCTATGCATTTCGTGGGTCCCCACTTCTCACCTTTAAATTCGCCTGCTTTGCAGTTTCCTCGACTCCTTCCAGAAATTTGAGCGCAGCTGCTTTGAGCTGGTTGATGCCCTCATTGTTATTCCATCCCATGGATCCCGAAGTGTCGAGACAAAGAACTGTATCCAAAGGCATCCTGTTGGCATTAAGCGACTCTGTCCCCCTCTTTACGTAGAGAGAATAATGAGGACGCGATATATCTACAACAGAAATTGTCTTAACATGTAACAAGAGTCTCTAAGGTGCACATTCCTCGACCGCTCGACTTCTCAAACTACACGCGATAAATTTATGGATAAAAAACAGTCATCCGAGACGCATTTATTCCTGAACGTTCCAGAAGGTATTTAAAACCCCATATTTACCCCTGCCATCTAATTCTCAAGTAAAAGCGAGCAGCTCATTGGAGACGATTAAATCAAATTTTTGTATTTGTTTCTGAGTGTTATTGCGTAGGTAAAATAACTTTGTATGCGTCCATGCATATCGAATGCGTATGAATGTTTTCTGATTCTCCAGACAGACATCAGAGGAGTTTCTGTTAATACGATAGCGTGAACAGCACTCGTGCATTGGGTGAGAAGCTCGTTACCAGACGCAACAAACTGCAAACTTTTCACTTTAACGTTACTCCTTCGCTCGTAGTAAAGACGCGTTTACTTCCGGGATGTGCCGTCAATTAGTCATACATTTTATCTCTCTCTTTCAACTGCGACACCTATGTTATAACAAATAATTAAACTATGCTAAAGATGTTTTCGGACAGTCTTCTTACCTCACAATACACTGCTTCGGTGAATATACTGGGGTGATGCTGATTTGTAACAATCGCATTGAGGTCAGGTTCGTAGCTACGAATGTTGCTCCGTTGGCTGTGACACTGAACAACACCCAGAATAAATTCAGGTTTTAACTGGTTTCATCATCATTAAGCCTCGGTTTGGTTCCTGACGTAGAGGAGACGGAGGGGAAAACAGTGAGGAGAGACTGGAGTCATTGTAATTGTGGCGTGCAGCGATTTACATAAACCTCTTCGCACTGAAACTTATGATTATTACAGGAATTAGTCGGCTAAACGTTATCACCGACGCAAGCAACGGAAAATCAGAAAACAACTCCATCGGCATGCCAAGGATCGTAGAATTGATGCGAACTTTAGCCGTAGCTAGGTATTACTCAGTACATGCTTGGACATGACAGTATAGATTGATTTCTATACTGTTTCATCTATTCGTTCTTGCCAAAATTGTTCCCGTGAACACTCCTATTCAGTGTATTCTTTGATAGTTTTTTTCGTTTGTACGTTTGTTTGTTTGTTCAGTTTTAGGGAGACCGGGGGCCAGGGGGGAGGGGGTTAGTTTTAATATATTTAAAAGTGGTGACATTTGATTCCGCCTTGTCTCTAACCCTTTACATCCTTACATCAGTATATTCTCCAAACTTCTCTCCACACATTTCGCAAGGTGCTGACAAGGAGAATTTGTAAAACAATCAAGAGTTTCTAGTTGGTGATCATTTTCCCTTTCTTATGACCCAGGTGGTACCTGCTTGTGACCTTAATGTGAGATTCGGGGGTGATAATGTCAAAAGAAATTAGGTGCTAGTCACTTTTAGGTGTTAAAAGGTTAATAATATTTTATAAACATTTTCAACTAACCGATTTAAACTATGGGCTCCTTTAAACATATCACCGTGATCACCATCATTTGCGTCGCCGTCGTCAGTGTCATCATCGATCACTGTTATGAAACAAGTACAACCGTCAGGCTGCTGGTCACTTGAGTTCTTAGAAAAACGAAAGAAAAACCTCCACAGAGGTGCAAAATTAGTAATATGGGAAAATACATGTAGAAAATTTGAATTGATCAAAACATCAAAATTTGCACAATAAAATTCAATCATTATTTCAGGCTTACTGAAAATACCGATTTGTTCTATAATTTCAGTCAAATTTTAAATTAAAGCGAATATCAAATGGTTTATCAACTGCGCGTACTTGAACTAGTATAGTCCAGCGCTGTCCAGCTGTGTAAGGGGAAGGGGGCTGAGGAGAGGGCGATGGTGGAAAATGAGCGGGAGCTCTGTTATATATTGAAGCAAATACTATAGACAGATTCATAGACGTCTAACTTTCCAACTGTTAGTCCGGGATCCTAAAGTTGTCCAGATTCCAATGCTAATCAACGTTAAATTATACCAATGGTATCTCTGCTGCACCGCACATCAGAGCTCTAGCAGCCCCAGCTGCCCCAGCAGCCCTAGCAGCCCCAGCAGCCCTAGCAGCCCCAGCAGCCCAAGCAGTCCTAGCAGCCCCAGCAGCCCTAGCAGCCCTAGCAGCCCCAGCAGCCCTAGCAGCCCCAGCAGCCCTAGCAGCCCTAGCAGCCCCAGCAGCCCTAGCAGCCCCAGCAGCCCTAGCAGCCCTAGCAGCCCCAGCAGCCCCAGCAGCCCTAGCAGCCCTAGCAGCGTGTAGCACCCCTAAAGACATTTACATAGTCGATAATTTCAAAGCTCGGAATTTACCTTAACTTCAGTTTAGCTGTTTAATTTCATTTTCAGGGGGCTTCAGTGGTATTATCCTTTTTTTGCTCTTTATTACGCAGAAAATTCTGCTCAAATTGACTCCATTAATTAGGATAATCCTACATTCCTGTTGTTTTGCATGCTGCTTTCCACTATTTTTTTTTCCAGTCACAAGCCTCCGCAGTGCAGTCGCGGTGTTAACAAAAAGAGGTAATCCTCTCACAGAGGGAATCTGTATTATCCTTTTAGCAATACCAAGTAGATTAATGGAATGCAATCCGCAGTTTCCCCAACATCAACATTATCATTTGGCACAAATCCAGGCCAAACAGTAGAAAAAAAAAAACACTCAAGAAAATTAAAAAGAAGAAGTAGAGAAGTTGTGAAAAATCATAAAATAAAAAAAAAAACACCCAGTATCAATAACACTATTGCGTAGAAAAAAAAAGGGGGGGTGCCAAAAGCGTTCATTAACGCACGAGGTTTGTTTACGTCGGATGTAGGAGACAGCTGAATGACCAAAACACTGATGATCCCACGCAGGTATTCAGTGAGGGGCAACTCTCGAGGATTAAAACTGAAGAGCGCTAACGTATGTTTACATCATCCCAATCAAAATTAGTGTTGGGTACTGTGATGAAGCCAAAGTAAATAAACTCGCGCACAATAGTCTAGAGAAGGGCGATAACGCATCATTTCATTTCGTTGACGGTAGGTCGACCTTAATATTCTTTTTTACGGAAAGTGAAATGTGAAAATGGACTCCCGAATTTTTCAGTTTCCTTTATGGACGTCAATTGCCAAATTTTATAGTATTGCTCGCGATTATCAGCATGCCAAAAATAGATAAATACAAGCGCTGCTGTGAAAGTAATGCAGACGTAAACAGAAGAAATTTTACACATTGGGAAACGTATGCAAAATAACAATTTTGATATGTGTATATTCACATCACCTGCCTACATTAAAAGTTCAGATTTTGCCTTAGCTGACGGAGGTTTAGCTACTTATAAAATATGTTGCCCAAGGGTACCTTTAAATAAGAAGCAGAAACTGTGCCGAAGAAAACAAAGAAAAGCCAGTAATGTAGGGAATAAAATTGCAAATGAGCTGAAACCGTGGGAGAGCAATATCATTAACTTGGCGCTCTTTTTTTATTCACCGGAGGAGGTCAGTTTTAACCCGACTTACAGGCTACAAATCATTCCTATCGGATGTCAGTATATTTTGCTTGTTACCTCTACAATTACTTAGACGCATCTTGCAACAGCAATTTACATTTTTTAAAAATCCATAATGCAAAATTGGTGCCAAAATTGTAAGTGACTGTCAAAGATTGTTTTTCTTACAAAAGCTTAGAGACAGGTTTATCATACTGTATGCCTTTCGGCTCCGTGTGTTGTTTACATGTCACGTTAAGTGTCCTAGAAGCAATGCATTTTGCAAACCTTAGGCGCACTGAATAGCCTTTACGCGCTACCTCTTTATTAATACTCAAGCTATTATCCGTCTGTTTTAATGAAGATATTGATTATATAGCCTTTATTCCAAGACAAATTCAGTTTTTTTCTCGAAGGCTCTTCGGATTTTTGACACCTCGCCGCCTTGATTGGTAAGTAAACTTGTCCCTTCCCACGTCAAAAAAGAAAATTGTAATCGTTTGTTACTGAATTGAAAAAAAAAAAAAAAAAAAAAAAAAAAAGAAAAGAAAAAAAGTTGTTTGTTAACTCAAAATACAAATTTGAATTCTAAAGCTCCTTTTTGACGGTTCTTTGAATAACAAATTGAATATAGGGTAATTATCCCTTTGCTTTTAACTTGGTCTCATAAATCGAGAAAAGCTTTTGGGCCAAAGAAAAGAATGGTTCCCGTGTTTATCATTTAAATTTTGACACCTGTCACTCTTGGATAACCCTGTCTATTTAATATTAATAGCACGTGAGATAGAAGGCGATGTAAACAAGTTTCTGCCTTCTTGTTTCTGCCTGAGGCAAGATCAAACCAGAGCTTAGATGCGATCTTCTCTTGTAGTAGGACGACTGTGCTTGAAATTGTAAGAAATATTTCGCGCAATGTTATTTGTAACGGACAAACCCGTTTCCATGAATGAATGGAAGGAAATTCAACGTGCAGATGTGGAGAAAGTTTACGCACGCAAAAGTTCACGCAAAGATGTCGAAATTTTGAGCCAGAGTATGGAAACCAGCCAAGCGAGTTGTGAAGTGGCGAAACAACAAAACGCTCCCGTACAGGTCAAATGCGGTAGGATCCGTCGCCATTCTTCGTACGAGCCAAATCTCGATGATATCTTAGAGGAAGACGTCGATGGTAACGGAAGAGAGCATAACCGAGACCTTGCCGACATACATCGCGAGCGAGCTCGCAACTCCGGGGTACTGAAGAAAGATCGAGAAGGGCGAACCTGGCGAAAGAAAAACTTCGTCAACAACAATTATACAAGACCGAGATCGTACACAGCTTAACTCTGGCGATTTGCCCATGTTGTTATTTCGAGGTGCGAGACGAACGAACCACTAACAAACATTTTCTTCAAGTCACGTGCAGTCGAGCGCCATGTGCAAAAATAACAACAGCGTCAAACATCTACATAAGATATCAGAAATGAAACCTGAGTCCCTCGGGCATTATACGACACGTTCCCTTGCAGGAAAGCACATTGGAAATGCTGGAAAACACAGGCACTTCTTGATGATGTCTTAAAGATTCTTTTCAAGGAGAGAAATTCCCATTGGGTTGTATATGTAAACACTCATCGCAAATTCATATTTTGATATCTTTAAACTTTCGCATACCGACAGCGAGTGTAACACTTTATGCTTGGTATAAACCTTCATCATATGAGGTGTAGATAAAGAAGTCAAGGAACCTCGTTTCTGGAGAGGTATCAGTTGTTCTTCGCATTTTCTGACGAGGTTCTATATAAATTTAGAAAGATAAGATCTTTTGGGTAGCTGCGCTACCCATTTCGTTATTTCTTTTGAGGTTTGCTCATCAAGGCGTGACAAACAAGTTCCTGCACGATATCGGATAATGTTTTTCCCACAACGACCATGTTTACGAGCAAAGCGTCAGAATTAGACCTTCATCGCGCCGGTGCAAGCATTATAGCTGTGAATAACATTTCAACATTTGTACGATACAATCTACAATTGCAAGTTCTGAGTTTCAGTCTGTCGAAGGGCCTATATCATTCGCAAATTCGTTCCCAAATTGTTTACTGATAAAACTCCTAGTTTACAGAAACATGTCAGATTAAGTGCTTTACTCTTAGTTCGCATTCGTAATACCAGTTTCTTAAAGGTTGAAGAAACTGCTGTTTGAGGATAATGGTAATATAAGTGTAATTTTCGTCACCAACTACAGCTGTTCTTTTGTGATTCAAATGACGCTTTGTGAATTAAGAAAAAAACACATAACATGTCCATGCTCCAGTGCAAATGTCATCGAAATTAGTTCTACGTGCTATCTACATTTTACTCATCATTCTTACTGAGTTCGCAGACAGACAACGCGTATTAGATCCCAAAGTTATACATGCATCGAAGAAAAAAAGAACAACGAATTAAGACGAAATTTCTAATGTGTACAGTAAAATTAAAGTTGAATAAAACATGCGTTTGCAACCCCACACTAGTATTATGTGAAAGAGTTACATATCTGTGGTGTGATATAACTTTTCCTCGTCTTGCTGCCTTTACTTGCGACGTTTCACATGCAGGCGCGTTCCAGAGAATTTTATAATAAATTGCTGTTGATTCAGAACTCGTTTAACGGGGTTGGTCGAATGGTAATGAAGGAGAATTGTCACCTTGACTAGAACGAGATCCTCCGGCTTTCATTTTCTTTTCCTTTTTTTTTGTGATTCAGAAGGGAATCTTTGTCTTCCTTTATTCTCATCTATCTATACATTTTCTGTATTTTTCGTAGATTTACATACTTCACAATTAATGTTCAAGGAAATAACGAGTAGAGCTTTGTGAGCAACAAAAATGAAACGCATCACAAAATTTGTGAAATCAAATTTATTTAGTCTATTCATGTACTTTTTTTTTCATCTCGTATAAGACGAAAAGAAAATTTTCGTTTCATGAAAGAAAAGGAAAAAATATATTTTCTGGACATACCAGTTGTTGCTACCTGGTAGATGCTACTGTCTGAACATGTCTATTAAAAACAAAAGCAAAAGTAGAATGACAGGCTCTTTCCGGCTTTTACCACATTTGTATGGCTTTCACTGGAGTGATTACTTTATTTAAGTAATAACATTTCCACTACACCAAACTTTTACATTTTGGTAGCGCGTCATAAGTGAAAGTTCTCCGTTAAAACAAGCGCAAAATTGAGATTGCCGACATAAAAATTCGCTCTGTATTTAAGAGTTAAGCAACGTACTTGGTTTTCAACCCCGCAGACAATTTCCTAGTCGGCCAGACGACGATAAATCTTTTATTAGTGGGGTCGTTGCTCAGAAGAAACTTTGTAATTGTTCGTTACCATTATGGTCGGTATGTCGAAAGGTTGTTATGAGATCAAATTAGTCTGCGATTAAACCTCTTCCCCAGCTTCACATGTGTCACGTCCGAACCTCGACCAACTGACCAATTGTTGTACCCATCATTTCGAATTTATTATTCAGATTTTTTTTCTAGGACCACCATTGACAACCCAAGCATCTAAGGGAAAACCAAAGCGGACTTGCTTTCTTGCCTTTCCAAAGCTTCAGTTCTAAGTCAGTATTTTAGTACCGGTTGTTTGAATAAGCAACGCTTAGCAAATCAAATGCACTGAAATAAAGTTTGATTCATTAAACGAATCAATGCGTTGGGAAGTCAGAATGTTATGAATTGTGGCAGGATGAAAACATTGTGAAATATTCCAATCACAAAAGGGCCGCTAAGTCCCGAGATAATCCCAGTTATTTTGCAAAGTAGAAGTGCAGGTTGAAAAAAAAAAAAGGAAATACCGTAAAACAAACAAAACAACACGAAAACAAGGTCCGAACATAACAACAATGGGTTCACATATTTGTCAAAAATAGTTGCACCCGATTGAAGCATAAATGTCTTGGAGCCAGTCTCATATCTAAAGCATTTACAAGAAGTCTCNAAAAAAGGTCCATCTGCTTTAACTTCTTTGAGGATGTTAATTCTTTGTACATTCCCACACTGGCATTAGACATGTTTCCACTCTATTGAAATAAAAAATATAATTATTCATTTGAAATGGAATGAGTTTTCATAAGAATATACTTTTGTTTCTGGTATTCACTCTATTGAAATAAAATAATTATTCGTTTGAAATTGAATGAGTTTTAATGAGAATACAGTCAACACCCGCATATAAGAACACATGATTTTGGAGGCCAGGCTGATCAGCTTCTTATTTATCGGGTGCTTAGTGAAACATCAGCCTGAAGGTGTTCTTAAATTGTTCTTAAATTTTTGTTGTTGGAATTCAGAACTGTAACAATACAAAAAAATGCTTGAGATTAAATTGGCATATTTAATGAAAAAGAAAATTAATAAATATCGTGACATTATTGTAAAAATTAGCCTGCAAGAGAAAATCAGCCTTATTACTAGTTAACTAGTGAACAGAACAAGAAAATACATCTAACTTGAAGGGCATGTTATTGTCTTATCCATTTTATAAGAACATTTTATATTTCCAGGCTGATTTTGTTCTTATAAAAATGGTGCTTTATTTGCAAAATTTCAGCCTGATGTTCTTAATCCATGTGTTCTTATATGCGGGTGTTTACTGTATAAATTGTTGCTGCTCTGATGGTAAAAAGCTCCTTACTAACTTCAAAGAGGGCACTTGGTGTGACTTGAAAGCTACTGGTAAGTTTATTTCCATCAAGGAAAAAAAAGGGAAAGAAAAAAAAAAAATTTTCTGAAGCACCATGTTCTAGAAGCCCTAAACTGTCGAATAAGGAAAAACAAGGAGAAACGGGAGTGACGCACTAAAGACGAGCTTGCTCGGTCCAGCTGTTAATAAGAGGAAACTATTTTTGTCTATATTTCAATGCCTCTGATATATTTCTCCCCAACGAGAAGCAATATTGACCCAAGTGTCCCTGTGGAAATGAAATTTGAATGTTTAAAAAGAAAAAAAAAAAAAATCAAGAAACCCATCTGAGTTCCTTGCTGTTTACCTTGTTGGTGAGCCAGTTTGCAAATTCCCCGTTTAAATAAAAATGTAAGCGTTTTAATAAAGCCCTCAGTTTATAGCCTCAAGGTCTTTAGCCAAAAGCCACGTTCTCAGCAATTCCGGGCCTTGACTGTATACATCACCTGGCTTGAAGCAAGCGGCCTGAGTCTATAAAATATTTACTTTTTTCAGTAAAATTCCAACTATCATCTTTGACCAATTTCTCATTCCAGCCAGTTAAAAATAAAACGAAAAGGAAAGTGTCCTTTTGAAAACAAAACACCAAATTTGCCGTTTCAGTCAAATTATATGACGTTATCGGCCGATGAATGGGTACTCTAGACAATAATTTGAGACTATTTTGCGACGGAAAGGTTTTGAAATCAAAAAACGCCCTGTAATTTACACGGGACAAATGGAGGAAGAGCCCTGATTAAGATTCGAGAACAGTTATAGAGCAAGGTTGACTAAACAATTCGCTGCTGCGGTCATCCACATCTGTAATAGCACGTACAGTGAAATAATAAGAGGCCCCTGGAAGAAACTGCGTCATTGTACAAGCCATAGGAAGTGCAAGGGCGTCTACGACACCCAAACTTTGCCATCCCGTTGATTCGCTGGAAGCCGTGGTCACAAAGAGTTCATACTTAATAACTTTTGATTCGTACTCTCTGCTGGTTAGATCCCATGACAACACAATACCATCTCTACTTTGCTCTGCACCGAGAATTGGTTTTAAGTAAGAAGCATTGTCTTTTTGAAGTTGCGAGCCTTCGTTGTCACCCTGTTCTGCTACATCTGAAAAACTCACGATCTGGCCAACAACACCTCCATGTGAATCTAATAGTTTATTGTTTCCTTCTGTCTCCGGATTAGTCACGTCCTTAAAATCGTCTAACAGTTTCATTCCTGGTAAGTTCTGAACAAGTAACGAACGAGTGGTACAACCAGTCCTTGGAGACAAAGCGGTAGCCGGGCAAGATGCCTGAACAGCTGTTACTTCATTACTTTTCAATTCCGACCCTTGCGCATTTCGTAATCTTGTAGTTCTGGGTGCAGGTGATCGAGTGGCAGGCAACACGGTCTTCGTCTGGCTATTTAGTAGTGGTCCTGAGGGCATCGATGGATTCTGCGGGGTAGATCGAAAACTATTGGCAGGTAGGATTGATATAGTAGCTAGGTTTGGAGTTGTAAAAGAGGTTCTTCTTTCAAGCAGATGTCCACTCTCCGCGTTAGACATCGTGAGTGGGTTTCTTTGCCCCTCTCTTGCTGAGTCTCTATCCGAATTATTTCGCCTCAGGAGCGCTAATGACGAGGGTGAAGCATTAGGATGGACACAAGCTCTTGCGTTAGCGGAGTACGGAACCTGACCATGAAGGATACTTCCTGCACCCACCCTTTCTCTTTGAGGGGAAACTGACTTAGAGTCGTGCAGCACACTAACACTGAGCTGCGAAACAGAGGTTGAGGAAGTATGAACACTGCTTTGACTTTGGTGGACTGGCGGTTGGATTGATTGCTGCAAAAAGGCTCCATTTCTTATATTTTGTGCAGGATAAGGTCTAAGAAACTGTGTCTGAATGGGAGGTCTTTGGTTTAAACAGAAATTGTTAGAGCTTGCCGTAATAAGAGAAGCAGGTAATTGTTCTGCAAAAGATGTTCCACAATGCGCAGCACTTGGTACTGTGAACTGAGGGTTGCGTTGCCAATATTGATGTGCTCTTGGGTGTGGCTTAGGAAGTATAGGAGTGGGCGGCACGTAACCTGCTATCCTCTGATACTGGTGCAACTGTTTCTGTAGTTGCTGCTGTTGCTGAGGTTGCGGTCGATGCTGTTGCTGTTGCAGTTCCTGACGAGGCGGATGCTGCAGTAAAGGCACCTGTTGTTGGTGCATATGAATAGATGGTTGCGTGAGCAACTGGTTCTGTTGCTGAGGATGCAGCTGAGGACTACATTGGTGAGAAGTCGTGGAGTAGCCACCGTCAGTATTATGTGCAGTTTGCTCTTTAGTAAAGTGAAACATTTGTCTTTGGACCGGGTGACTAGCTGGATGCAAATCAACCCCATTAAGAGGAATAACTGGTTGGTCCGAGGCTCTGATGGAGTTTTGATAATGGCTTTTGGACCACTCTTGATTAAGAGGGTTTTGGACGCCGCTGGAACCTATTTGTATTTCCGATGGGTTTGGTACTGCCTGGGAGGAAATTTGAGGTGGAAGGCCCCCAACAAGTTGGTTACCTTGAGCACTCCTTGTACCATCTGGAGTTGTGGGTAAGGCCTGAGGGCACAACATACCCGCTCTTGGAAAGTTCACGTGACCTAGCAAAACATTTGGACGATGGTGACGATTTGGACTGGAGGAGCGTATTTTATTAGCAGGCTCTCCAGTCGGAACTGAACAACTTGACTTGTTTGATGTTTGTGTGCCTGGACGAAACTGTTGTGGATAAGGCAAAGGAATAGTGGGCCGCAACTCTGACACAATCCCATGAGTACGAGCACCAGATGTACTTATGGAAGTTGAGACTTGGTTCTTGTTGGAAAGTTGCCCACGAGGTGCCTCGTGATTACCTCCTGTATGCAAGTGCAAATCGTCTCTGCCTCGTGCTGGATTTTGATTTCCAACTGTATGTCTTTGATTTGTATCTGGTGGGCAACAGAAGCAGCCCCCTGGGGGTCGTCGACGTCTACCTGCAGTAGTTAACATTGATGCAACACTTGCATTTCTATCTTGAGTCTGTGTCATTACAGGCCTTGACGATGAAGAATCAGTTCGATGGACTGGCGGAGTAATTTGTCTGATGATTGTGGAGATATTATCTGTGTTATCTTTCGTTATAGGAAGATTCGTCGAATCCAGTCGAGGTCGAGGTAGGATTGGCATTTGAGCCGTCTGCAGAGGTACATTTTGACCAACTGAACTATTTTCTGAGGACGAAATGACCTGCTGAGGACGAACTGTGGCGATGCGATTTACTGGTCCGGTTGCATGCTGCTGAGCAGAAGTGGAAGAGATACTTCGCCAAGGATCTATGGCACCAGAAAGTTGCCCTCGTTGATCTGTCACTATTACTGCCTGGCGATTTACAGGCAAACTGTTTATTCCCGTACTTGGCGAGGGCAAGTTTGGACCTTGCAAGGGCCTGGCCGAATTACGTTGAGATATAAGAGCTTGGTTGGAAAGAAGACGATGTTCTGGAAGTATAAAATCACAAGGATGTTGACGAGGCTGTTGTGATACAAGGAGGCCGCCAGAAGAAACGTGTTGTATTTTGGGTAGAGGACTGTCCGTTTGGGGAGAATGCGTACATTGCTGTGATTCCATTTGTTTCTGTGACGTGTTCTCTCGCATTATCTCAGAGAGCTTTGGTATTTGAACACGCGCAGATGCATCATTTACCTGTTTCCCGCAAACTTTGATGATGACAGGGCCATCTCCAGGAATGGACCAGGACCCATGTTCCTCTAATGCAAAGGATGAAGCTTTGTCCACGCCTTGACATGCAGACCATGCTCGACTCAAGATCTAAGTGAAGTTACAAGTAACAACTTACGAAATGTAAATAAAGTTAGACCTGTAAGTCTGGCAGTACGTTCATCCTTAAAGGAAACACATTCTCAAACTTACCATTCCCATAGACACTTGAGTACCACGTGAGACAGTCTTAGTCGCTTCTTTTTCTTTCTAAAGAATAAAAGGCTAATAGTTAACCATGTCGCACAGTTTCCCGCCGATAAATATATCCAGTCTCTGTGTCATAAAATCAACTACGTATTTATTCTAATTCATCATCGACTATATGCTAAAATAGGTGCACAAACAGAGATAAGTGCTGCTGAGATGCTGATGTTTCAGAATTCCAGCTTTTCAAAGTTATAAGCTAAGTGGTTTATCTACATTTAACGACTCAGAGCTGATGCACGTTTAGGTGTTACACTTGCCCGTAAAAGCAGCACCAAAGTTTCTCCTGGGAGCGATGATATTGTTTGTAAAATTTGGAGAGACTACTGCAATGGCCAGTCATTAGGCAAGAAAGAGGAAAAAGGTGCAGTACCTTCCAGGCCACTATGAAGCATTGTAATAATTTAAGTTCTTTTTAGCGATTATTTAGACGACTCGTGAGCATGATGCTTTGCACCGATCACTTCTTATGAATAGACTGACCTCGTTGTAGAGATTCATCATGGACGTCTGAAGTCTGTCTGCTTTATCTTCAAGCTGCATATTTCTTCTTTCAAGAATCGCCACCTTGCGCCTCAAGGCTGAAACAGTTCCGCAGTATACTGCTGAGTGTTGTAACTTTAACATTCGTTTAGCAACCAAGTCCTTCAGCATCTGAGGAACAATGACAATAAATACAGTCACTAAGCAACATGGAATCTAATTATTTTATACGATAACAAATTAAAATGTTGCTAATGGTAACGTCATCCATGTGTCTGCATGTCCTCCAACAGATAAGAAGTAAGAACCAATAAAAATGCGTTTATATTCAGCTTCTAATATAACATTTAGTTTCTAGTATTGTTTGAGGAAGAAGGATGACTAGTCCAACCGTTGTCTTTATCTGGGCTGATGTTCAACTGGCAGAGATCCTTTTTGCGTCAAAGAGAAAGTGTTGCAATGCACGGCACAAAAGTGTTTCAATGCACAACCAAACGATCATATCGGTTGTAACCAATATGGCTTAGGCAGCGGTTGCCTTGGAAAACAAGAGTTAACAGACTCTGGCACTTAAGTTTGTTTGCAGTGTTTTCACTCACCGAGACTTTGATTTGGCATGTGAAATCAATATTTAAAAGGAAAGTACCCTGTTCTTAACAAGTTCGTTACGCATGCCCTTTGCGGGAGCCCGATAGCCTGAAGTTTCGCTCGTCAAAATCTTTAACGCTGGAAGAGCAAAGAATTGGAACGACTGGGATAAATGGAATGAACATTGTGTACGACAGTACTTATCCAAGAATGAAATAAGATGTTCAAGTAATCTACCTTGCGGAATCGACGTTTGAACACATCGCTGGCATCACCTGTTATTTCATCTGCATCGATAGAACCAGGGCTTCCTTCGCTGACAAGCGAGTTTCGAAACGCAGGTTGATTCACAGTACTTGCTCTCTTTTTACGAACACTTCTGATTGATGATGAATTCTTTGATTGTTTTCTTTTGCCTAGATTATGAAAACTGGAAGAGGAACTCACTTCAATTTCGGGTGATGATCGCTGCACTGAAGAGCGCTTGCGTAAGCTCCTTCGAGATTGAGTCCTGGCTATAGCAGGCGAGGCCCTAATACAAGGATAAATTCTTTCATTTATGAGTCCTGATTCATTCTCAGCAGACATTTCATTCATCATTGGGATGGTAGGACTTGCGTATCCTTGGTTATCATTACTTGAGTCATGTCTGGTTTCGTCCAAAAAGGTTTCCCGAAAACTACTGTCATAGAAGTCCTTTTGTAATGCGACACATGTAACTTCAGGCGTTTCACTGCAGTCCACTGGTTCTTGTTTGATTCTGTGCAAGAGGTCTACATTCAAGTGGACGACAGCATGTCCTTCAGTGCTATCCTCGGTACAATCTTCATCTGCAGCTTAGAGATACCGGTCGCGAATTTAATAAAAAGGCAAAGTGAGCAAATGTGCTTTTAATTATCCTCTAGATCTGAAATCCTCCAGAGGATTATAAATTTCTTATTAGCTATTTCCGTTAATCACAGCCACTTAAAAACGAGACGATCCGGAACAACCCTACCTTTATACAAGACTATTTATTGCAAAGAAATCGGGATCGAGAGCCTCAGGAAGTTAAGCGATAAATCTACCAGACATCTCTGTGTGAGAAGCAAAGGAACGACTGCAAATGAATCACACATTTCGCGCTTTCGGATCTCCACGATGAATCACTTTCCGTCATATATTGTCGGTTCTCAAAGACTCGAAAACAATAAAAGCATCACTTTTCTCGTGTTTGGAAACCCTGAGGAAACCCTTGCACTCGTTTTTGAAATAACACATAAGAAGCTGACTTTGCGTAGCTATTTTCGGTGAGACCGGGAAATATCACCTCATTAGAAACCTGAGCTGATCCTAACCCGAGCCAAACCTGGGGTAGATGGTGTGTGCGACCCCAACTTCTATAAACTTTTCTGCGGTCATCTTTGAGATGAGTACTTTTTGAGATGATTAAGTACAGAAACATGAGCAGATTTCTCTACAGATATCAACAACTTACTCAACATCTATGCTGAAAAAAAAAAAAATATATATATATATATGTAAATATATTAAAAATGGAGTAAAACCTACCAGATGTGCTTAAAAGAGGTGTTTCAAGCCTAAAAAAAACAATAACACCATATAAGGAGGGCATCTTACACGTTAAAACACTGCTTCATTGTCACACTAATGACGGATCATAAGACAACAAGCATGCACACACATCAAGTTATTTTAAACCCTGACGATTGTTTTCCTGTGCTTTTGGAACTCTTTACTCCGGTGCCAAATATATATTTTGATTGCTGAAGCCTCAAAAATGTCCAGCGAAGCCGCGAGAGGAATGCTCTCCATCTCTTTCTGATCCACGGCACCTTTACCTTCATTTCCATTGAAGACTCAAAACGTCGCCAACAAGGCAAGCTTTCCCGTGAACCTGAATCGTCCCCGCCTTATCTAGAAGCGCGAGAAAGGCAGCATGCAGCTAAGAGTATGAACTATGGGCTACTTGTTTTTCATCGACTAAAGCATGTATACCTTACCTTCTTATCTTGCTTGGAATTACATTCGATTCCATGACATGAAAAATGTCCCGGGATATATTTCTATGAACAAAAAAGTCACAAATAGCACCATAGCATCAAATCAACAAATATTATGGGACATGTCGATGCCCCTTGAATGCGACAGCTGGCGTTAAAAACACTCTATGCCTTGTGAAATCTTATCATTATTACAAGATCTTTCAGGAAACGACCTTCGTGGCATTACGCGAGCAAAAGAACGGTAACTTTCATCACAAAAACAGTCGAGCAATCGCAAGTCTTTTTAAGGTTACCGTGCACCTTCAGAGGTGTCTCGCGTGAAAGCGACTATATCAAATAAAAGCTTATAGGACTGGTATCAGACTATACCATGAATTGTCGAATT